TGTTAACTGTAAAGAAAAAAAAAAAAGAAAAAAATGTAAAAAGCACTGTTACTTTTATTTCTTTGAATGTTGTATGGTATCATTGGAAGTATAGAGTACCATTTAAGTACCATGGTTCATGAATATCAAAGTGCCATGGGCATGTATAACTGCCAGAGTACGTTTTTCTATGGGAAGGTTCTTCAAAGAACATGATTGTAGAAGTCCAAAAAACATGATAAAATAGATTTTGTTTGTGTGACTACTAAAAATAGAACTAAAGCAATTAAAAACAACAATCCCAGGAGTCGAGAAACTATCGTAAATACCCAGATAGTTATGGAGCATAAGATATATTTTAAACAGACGTTTATTATGGCAGTTACCATTAGATGCTAATGTCTCTGGTGCTAATATGCAAACCAGTTAAACTAAAAGAGGACAGCATCATAAATCAAGCTAAACATCTGCTCAAAGAGAACCATGAATAATATTAATAACTCCTCATGGACCCATTCTGTAAAATGCACAAATCATAAGACAAAACATGGAAGAAGGATTGAATTGCCATTGAATCCCAGTTAAAGAATTCCAAAACGTATCACGGTTGCTCTTTATTTTACAGAACGTGTACTTACAGGGCACTTACCTAAGGTTCAGGGTTAGTGCCTAGTTATTACCCAGTTATTGTAATTACTATAATAAGTACATAGTATGTACACAGAACTACCAGCATTACCATGTATTTTTAACATGCTACAGTGGAAATTTTTGATGTACCATGGAGTAAATGCCACTGCATAGGAATATAAGAACTTGAATGTAAGGTGTTAATTAACAACATCTACTAAATATAGGGTTAGGGTTTAGGCTTGTAATTATGCTTTAATTACTTAAGTCTACTTATTACTATAGAAAGTACATGTAAAAACAATGTAACAAGGAAAATAAAATAAAGTGTTGCCGAATCATCCAGTGCCATGATATTTATCAAAGTAAGTTGTAATGTAAGTCAGGGGTGCAACTATCCAGTGTCAGAGGGGTATGCAGCAACAATGTTTGCATTTTAAAAATGTTGTGTTCTTTAATGTTAAATCCAGCAGTCTAATGCTCTTTGAGAGTTCAAAATTAAAAGCTACAACCCACATTCAGGGTGCAAATGAAACAAAGAAAAATTCAAACCTCTTTTAGTAAGTGTCTGTCTACATTACACTACTACAAAATAATACTAACTGTTATAATATTAATTCCATGATAGCCATTTAGGCTATTGTAAAACAAATGCACTGAAAAATAAAGAAAACTTTCATAATTAGTTTTGTACTAATTTCTTTACTTGAAAGATTTAAGAACATAATGACATGTTTCATGGGCCGGTGTGTCAGAAAAAAAAAAAAAAAACTAACGCTGACTTTTTTCGACCAATGCATTACATCGGCACTAACCCAGCGCTGCCAATTAAGCAAAAAAAAAAAAAAAAAAAAAAAAAAAAAAAAATGAATGGGCCACCGACGTATGAGTTTTATGGGCCGTTAAGACAAAAAAAAAAAAGGATGAGATGAAAAAGCACGTCGAAAAAGCACGTCGTCCCACTGGGAATCTCCTGGTAGTCCCGATGGCCACAGAGATAAATAGCCTACATGCCTGGATGTCACACTTTAAATCCTACCTCTTGGCTTTCAGCATGCACTTATTTAGCTGCTGTCGCATCAATTGACATGCCTTTTCTCTCTTTCTTTTTCTACTTTTAGCCCCACAGCATTTTGTTTTATCCATCTTTTTCGATGACAACTCACTACTCGCACCTGCTCGCTCAGCGCTCACGGCGCCCCCGCCCGCTCGCGATATTACCCCGCTCGCCTTCTCCATGAGGGCGCCTACTCTAGCCTGTTAGTCCTCTAAAATTTTATATAACATTGAAGAAATGCAGAAATGATTTAGAAACGCACAACAGCAGCTACATACAAAAACACAATATTATATATATATATATATATATATATATATATATTAAATTCAATTTTAATATATATAGTTCTCATCACTGAACCACAGTACTGACTAAGCACTGTATTATAAAAAGAAATAAAAGCAGGTCAATGTTCGTTGTGTCCAGTCTCAGACACCACCATCGACCTCCTCCACTTTATTAGCCCAATAAGCAAGGCCTTCAGTTCAGCAGCCCCTCAAAAATTTTTGGTGCCCTAACATTGGCAATTTGGCAGCAGAAGATTTATGTGGGTGATACAAGCATCTATTAGCATATAACTGGCATTTAAAGAGGAGCAAGGTTCATCAGTGCTTTAGTCATTAGCACGACCTGGAGCACCATTTGTGAGGCAGTATAGGCTGGAAGGAAGATACAGAGGATGGGGTACCTCTCTGGGGACATATTCTTCTTCTTGTGCATAATACATCTCTTTCAAACAGACCCTCCCTCCTTCTGTTCTTTCTCTCTTTTCAAAAGAGGAACAATTGCCACAAGGGTCACTATAACGAGCATTAGTGTAAACTCCGTTTTTCTACAGTCAGTTCTCTTTTGTGTGGCAACAATTTAGCAAATTCAGTACAACAGCACACACTCTTTGAGTACTGAGTTTTATTAAAGGGAGATTTCATCCCAAAACAAAAATTCTGTTAAAAGTTCCTCACCCCCAATTTGTTCCAAAACTGTATAGATTTTCTTCTTATAAAAGAAGTCAATGAAATTCAATGGGGTCCAATGTTGTTTTGACCCAACTTTTTTTGTTTTTGTTTCGCAGAACAAAGAAAGTCGTACAGTAAATGACTGAATGTTTAATTCTGGGTGGACTATCCCTTTAATGTCACAGTAAGGAAAAAAGTGCTCACAAAATACTGTACAAATGAATCACACTAGCATTAGGTTAGCAAAGTATTTGCATCTGTGCTTGCATAAAGAGCAGTGATACTCGACTGGTTTTGCTTTAGGACTAAGATTTTACATTGGACCTTGAGTGGTGACCAAACACAGTAGCAAAAATATGAACAGCATTTAGCACTTTTACCAGCCCATTCTCACCCCCAAGGCGTCACTTAACTGACGCCTTGGGAAGCATTTGGACATGCTTCAATATCTGACGCTTTAGGTCCCCTTTAGCGTCAGTTAGATGACGCCCTAGGATTGTGTGTACCCTACTCCCACCCCACACCTAAACCTAACCGCGTCCTCTAACTGACGCTTTCCTTTAGCGTCAGTTACTGTAGATGACGCCGTAGGATCGCGTCATGTAAGTGACGCTAAAGGGCGCCTAAAACGTCAAATATTGAAGCATGGTCAAAGGTGACGCCTTGGGGTGAGAATGCGTTGCTTTTACCCATGCTGCCCCAAACAGACCCACAAACCTACAATCCATTCAGTTCAGAACCTTTGCTGTATTGAGTATGGCTTTATCTGAAATCACTCCACACACCCTTTAATACACATTCCCCACATTACTTCATTGCATAAGTAGTGAAAAAAAATTAGCGAATTCAGACATTGAGTGCATCAGAAGGGCTGCGGACGTCATATGAAGAGAAGTGGGAATTCATTCAGCGCATTTGAGAGTATATTGTACACTCGTTATTGTAGTCCATTGTGTGAATAAGCACGCTCAATAATGTGTGCTCATGTGGTTTGAACACCTCTACAAATGGTTGTCCCAAAATAGTGCACTTATATAAGGGTATAGGGGGTGCTTTCAGACAGACTGTTTCTGGTCTGAGGGGTTAAAGTGGCGGCGTGTTCTGATAAGGTTTATGTTTATCAAATAAAAGCGCATTTGTGGAGGTCAGACATTATGAGAAGGTCATGAGACAACACTGGGATCCTTCATGACCATATCAAAGGAACACACTCACACAGATAAACACACACACACACACACACACTTGGTCACAAAGACTCATTCAATATTCAGTCAATGAGACTGGCCATCTGTGAGAGATTTCACAAATGTGTTTCCAAGCGCTGCAAAATGAGTTTGGTTTATAAATGTAATTGGCAGTAAGTGGCAATTATGTGTGTATCTATTACACCTGTGTCTGATTATGAGTTTATATGAGTATATGTCTTTGTCTACCCTTGACACGCAGTCTTTATGTGTCAGTACCTGTGAGAACACAAAGGCAGGGTGTGTCAACATGTACATGTATGTGATTTACAGGCAGAATTCCTCTATATAAAGGAATATGCTACTAGAACAAAATAATACAGAATGATGTTGGAGAATCAACAGAAGAAGAAGTAGTCAGAGAAAAACTGACAGGAGGAAAAAAGAAAAGAGGTACACTGTAACAAATGATTCTGTGGTGATGTAGATTTTAATTAATGTTTTTGGTTAAAATGTATTCAATATAATTGTGTTTTTTATTTTGAGGCAAATATTTAATTAAATTTCAAATAAAAATGTTTGGAATAAAAACCACCCATTGTTGTTAATTAAAACTTAAACATTTTTTTTAATTTAATTCAAATAAAAATGTTTGGAATAAAAACCACCCATTGTAGTTAAATGAAACTTAAGCATTTTTATTAATTTAATTCCAAATGGAGAGAATATTGAGTGAATTCAAATTAATGTAATCAGGCAAAAGCACTTCCTGTCAAAGTGCACCAGACGGCAGAAGAGATACGTTAAGCTGCCTACAGACGGTGAATGTTCGTCGTCTTCCACTTGCTCATCTTGCAGCTGGTTGACTAAGGTAAGAAAACTTATTTTGTTTTCACTGGACTAGTAAAAAGAACGCATGTAGTGGTTATATGTAAGGGATAATGTCGAGCGAGGCGTTGTTATGGCAAATAGAAAACCTGACAGGCTGATTTATGACCGACGCGAAGCGGAGATGAAGAAGGGGTTGTATTCGATAACAACCACCTTGCTCTATATTTTCCTGCTTATTACATGGCTACTTACCAAATAAATAAATAATTTGACACGATTTACTGATTTAAAAAGGAGTTTATTGATTTAAAAACGATTGTATTGCTTCCGCTAATGAAAATAGTCCGTTCCGGCAACGCTTTTGGGAACTTTGATACCAGAGCGTACGTCAACGGCGCCGCCATATTGAGGAGATCAACTTTCCCATACCTCTCATACCGGGAATTGAGAAAAATGCCTGTTTTGTGCGCTGCTTGTGGCTGTAAAAATCGCCACACAACTGAAAACAGCTTTCGAGGAAGTACCTTTCACAAGCAAGACTGAACGTTTGTTTTTGGTTGTATTTGGTCATGATTTAATTAGTAAGTAACGTTTAGAGATTAAATGCTACTGTTATTGTGTCACGCAATGTAGTTTTAATAGTTTTTCAGTCGACAATGTAGTTGTTTAAAGCTCAAATATGTGGTTTGTTTATAAAGATAGAGCCTATTTAAAAATTTGATCTGAAGTTTTCGGAGTTGCTGCGCCCCCGCCCAGCACTCGTCTCCCCCGCCTGGAACAGCCGTACCACGGCCAGTGCTTCTGACGGTTGCCGCTGGCTCGGATGTCTCTAGTCAAGAGGTTAAACATGAGATATAATTCGTATAATTTGTGTTTATCTTTGGTCTCATTAATCTATTAATGGTTCCCTGGTAAATAGTTTTGGCTGAAGGCAAAGTAAAGTTTCATAACTTTATATTTAGGCTATTTTAACAGTATGTTTGACTGAAGCTACTGCTGTTATAATGGCTAGCCTATTACTGATCAATAAAACTGAAATTTAGCTCAAAGAGCTAAATATTAAATATATTTTTTGTGTGCGTTTATTCTGTAGAAATGTCTTATTCTATTGCTATTATTATAGAATTATTAATAAACTATTATCAATATTTTTACATGTATTCATTACCATTTTATTTGCTGTATACTATTTGTTTATTTTATTGACTAAACTATTTACTAGTACTTTTCACTTTATAATTACTATTTGCATTGCACTACAGTTGTACCACAACATGTATTATCATAAATGATGCATCAGTTATCAATGTTATTGCTAAAATCTGGTCAATCACATAAAATGCTTTTTCCACAATGAGCAAACTTAAATATCTCATGGGGATCTTCACCATTCTTATCCAAGAATGTTTTTATCCAGAAAAACGCAGCTCACCCGTTTACCCGTTGACGTATCGCAGCAACGTTCCAAAGCGGCTAATAGGGCGTCTATGTATATATTATGTCTATGGATATTGTAGCCTACATAGAGAGGGATATAATAGTAGTAGAACATCATAAATCCCTCATTACAATGGAAGAACATTTGTAGACTACAACAAACATAAAAAAATAGAGAAAAAAACATCTAAATAGTGAAGAAAACAATTTGAGACCAAGGCCTGTGAGAAAATAAAATGTAACTAGAAAAAAAAGTTTGATGACAAACTTTAAGTTGGCTTGAGAAAGCCGGACCAGAGCGTTTGAAGTTTTGAAGTTTGAATGAAGTTTTAAAGATAGATTAGAAAGAAAGAAAGAAAGAAAGAAAGAAAGAAAGAAAGAAAGAAAGAAAGATGGATAGATTAGTTAGAAAGATAGATTAGTTAGAAAGATAGATTAGTTAGAAAGAAATATAGATAGATAGATAGATAGATAGATAGATAGATAGATAGATAGATAGATAGATAGATAGATAGATGTTTTTGGCAAGAAGCTAAAATGATTAGCATGTAGCTAGCTTGATGCTAATTTGATTAGCATGTAGTTAAGATGATTAGCATGTTGTTAGCATGATTAACATGTAGCTAGCATCATAATAGCATGATTAGCATGTTGCTAGCATCATGCTAACGTGTTTTTATCAAGAAGCTAGCATGACTAGCATGTAGCTAGCATCTTGCTAACATGATTAGCATGTTGCTAGCATCATGCTAGCATGTTTTAGCAAGAAGCTAGAATGATTAGCATGTAGCTAGCATCATGCTAGCATGATTAGCATGTTGCTAGCATCATGTTAGCATGTTTTTAGCAAGAAGCTAGCATGATTAGCATGTAGCTAGCATCATGCTACCATGATTAGCATGTAGCTAGCATCATAATAACATTATTAGCATGTTGTTAGCATGATGCTAACATGTTTTTAGCAAGAAGCTAACATCATTAGCATGTAGCTAGCATCAAGCTAGCATGATTAGCATGTTTTTAGCAAGAAGCTAGCATGACTAGCATGTAGCTAACATCATAATAGCATGATTAGCATGTTGCTAGCATCATGCTAACATGTTTTTAGCAAGAAGCTAGCATGATTAGCATGTAGCTAACATCATAATAGCATGATTAGCATGTTGCTAGCATTATGCTAACATGTTTTTAGCAAGAAGCTAACATGATTAGCATGTAGCTAGCATCAAGCTAGCATGATTAGCATGTTTTTAGCAAGAAGCTAGCATGACTAGCATGTAGCTAACATCATAATAGCATGATTAGCATGTTGCTAGCATCATGCTAACATGTTTTAGGAAGAAGCTAGCATGATTAGCATGTAGCTAGCATCATGCTAGCATGATTAGCATGTTGCTAGCAAGAAGCTAGCATGATTAACATGTAGCTAGCATCATGCTAGCATGATTAGCATGTAGCTAGCATCATAATAACATGATTAGCATGTTGCTAGCATCATGCTAGCATGTTTTTAGCAAGAAGCTAGCAGGATTAGCATGTAGCTAGCATCATGCTAGCATGATTAGCATGTAGCTAGCATCATAATAACATGATTAGCATGTTGCTAGCATCATGCTAGCATGTTTTTAGCAAGAAGCTAGCATGATTAGCATGTAGCTAGCATCATGCTAGCATGATTAGCATGTAGCTAGCATCATACTAGCATGTTTTTAGCAAGAAGCTAACATGATTAGCATGTAGCTAGCATGATTAGCATGTAGCTAGCATCATGCTAGCATGTTTTTAACAAGAAGCTAACATGATTAGCGGAAAGCTAGCATGATTAGCATGTTATTAGCATCAAGAAAGAACGAAAGAGAAAGAAAGAATTTTTAGAAAGAAAGATGCATAGATTAGTTAGAAAGAAAGATGGATAGATTTGTTAGAAAGAAAGAAAGAAAGAAAGAGAAAGAAAGTATTGTTAGAAAGAAAGATGGATAGATTAGTTAGAAAGAAAGATGGATAGATTTGTTAGAAAGAAAGATGGATAGAATTGTTAGAAAGAAAGATGGATAGATTAGTAAGAAAGAAAGATGGATAGATTAGTTAGAAAGAAAGATGGATAGATTTGTTAGAAAGAAAGATGGATAGATTAGTTAGAAAGAAAGATGGATAGATTTGTTAGAAAGAAAGATGGATAGATTAGTTAGAAAGAAAGATGGATAGATTAGTTAGAAAGAAAGATGGATAGATTTGCTAGAAAGAAAGATGGATAGATTTGTTAGAAAGAAAGATGGATAGATTAGTTAGAAAGAAAGATGGATAGATTAGTTAGGTAGAAAGAAAGATGGATAGATTAGGTAGAAAGAAAGATGGATAGATTAGGTAGAAAGAAAGATGGATAGATTAGTTAGAAAGAAAGATGGATAGATTAGTTAGGTAGAAAGAAAGATGGATAGATTAGGTAGAAAGAAAGATGGATAGATTTGTTAGAAAGAAAGATGGATAGATTAGTTAGAAAGAAAGATGGATAGATTAGTTAGAAAGAAAGATGGATAGATTTGTTAGAAAGAAAGATGGATAGATTTGTTAGAAAGAAAGATGGATAGATTAGTTAGAAAGAAAGATGGATAGATTTGTTAGAAAGAAAGATGGATAGATTAGTTAGAAAGAAAGATGGATAGATTAGTTAGGTAGAAAGAAAGATGGATAGATTTGTTAGAAAGAAAGATGGATAGATTTGTTAGAAAGAAAGATGGATAGATTAGTTAGAAAGAAAGATGGATAGATTAGTTAGGTAGAAAGAAAGATGGATAGATTTGTTAGAAAGAAAGATGGATAGATTAGTTAGGTAGAAAGAAAGATGGATAGATTTGTTAGAAAGAAAGATGGATAGATTAGTTAGGTAGAAAGAAAGATGGATAGATTTGTTAGAAAGAAAGATGGATAGATTAGTTAGAAAGAAAGATGGATAGATTTGTTAGAAAGAAAGATGGATAGATTAGTTAGAAAGAAAGATGGATAGATTTGTTAGAAAGAAAGATGGATAGATTAGTTAGAAAGAAATATGGATAGATTAGTTAGAAAGAAAGATGGATAGATTAGGTAGAAAGAAAGATGGATAGATTAGTTAGAAAGAAAGATGGATAGATTTGTTAGAAAGAAAGATGGATAGATTAGTTAGAAAGAAAGATGGATAGATTTGTTAGAAAGAAAGATGGATAGATTAGTTAGAAAGAAAGATGGATAGATTAGGTAGAAAGAAAGATGGATAGATTTGTTAGAAATAAAGATGGATAGATTTGTTAGAAAGAAAGATGGATAGATTTGTTAGAAAGAAAGATGGATAGATTAGTTAGGTAGAAAGAAAGATGGATAGATTTGTTAGAAAGAAAGATGTATAGATTTGTTAGAAAGAAAGATGGATAGATTTGTTAGAAAGAAAGATGGATAGATTAGTTAGGTAGAAAGAAAGATGGATAGATTAGTTAGAAAGAAAGATGGATAGATTTGTTAGAAAGAAAGATGGATAGATTTGTTAGAAAGAAAGATGGATAGATTAGTTAGAAAGAAAGATGGATAGATTAGTTAGGTAGAAAGAAAGATGGATAGATTTGTTAGAAAGAAAGATGGATAGATTTGTTAGAAAGAAAGATGGATAGATTTGTTAGAAAGAAAGATGGATAGATTAGTTAGAAAGAAAGATGGATAGATTAGTTAGGTAGAAAGAAAGATGGATAGATTAGTTAGAAAGAAAGATGGATAGATTTGTTAGAAAGAAAGATGGATAGATTTGTTAGAAAGAAAGATGGATAGATTAGTTAGATAGATAGATAGATAGATAGATAGATAGATAGATAGATAGATAGATAGATAGATAGATAGATAGATAGATAGATAGATAGATAGATAGTTCATTAGTTCATATAGAATGGTAGTTTAATTGAGTCTAGGGCTTCAGGGAATTTAGATTTGAGTTTTTGTTGTACGCTATTGGGCCACCGTAGTCTTGGCTCAATTTGACCATGCTGCAATGAAAGTCAATGGATTTTTATGATTTTTAATATTAATTTTTAAGAAATCTGAAAGTCGAATCAGTCTAAAAAGATATAGCACACTAAGTCAGAACAGTCTGAAGGTCTGACCCGAGTTTGGAGTTTGTAGAGTTAAAGCTCTAGGAGGAGTTAGAGTCAGAAAATTTTGAGTAAGAAGAATAATAATAACTAGAAAAAAAAGTTTGATGACAAACTTTAAGTTGGCTTGAGAAAGCCGGACCAGAGCGTTTGAAGTTTTGAAGTTTGAATGAAGTTTTAAAGATAGATTAGAAAGAAAGAAAGAAAGATGGATAGATTAGTTAGAAAGAAATATAGATAGATAGATAGATAGATAGATAGATAGATAGATAGATAGATAGATGTTTTCGGCAAGAATCTAACATGATTAGCATGTAGCTAGCTTGATGCTAATTTGATTAGCATGTAGTTAAGATGATTAGCATGTTGTTAGCATGATTAGCATGTAGCTAGCATCATAATAGCATGATTAGCATGTTGCTAGCATCATGCTAACGTGTTTTATCAAGAAGCTAGCATGACTAGCATGTAGCTAGCATCATGCTAACCTG